CCAGTTCCAGGGGATCTGACACCTTCTTCTGACCTCTTCAGGCACTGCAGGACGTGGATGTACTTACACACATGCAGGCAATATACTCATATACATAAAAATAAAAATAAAATAAATATTTCTTAAAAGTCAGCTTTAATAGATTGAAATACAGTTATGAGATTGTCAGGTCAGTGAAATAGCTCCGTGGGTATAGGTGCTCACTCTCAGGAGGACAACCCGAGTTCAGTCCCAGGATCCCACAAGGTGGCAGGAGAGAGCTGACCTCCACATATGCACCATGGCATGCATGCACTTGCACTTGCACTTGCACTTGCACTTGCACACAAACACACACACACACACACACACACACTGAATAATTTAAAATTACAATTACATGATTTTCCAAATGTATTTTTCTGAAATTTAAATAATAACTTTCTACAGATATTTATGTGTGTGTACACATATAGATATATATCTACATAGGAACTTAGGCACTTTTGTACTAACTTTCATTTTGTCAGTAAGCATCTTGGCTCAGAAAAGTGACACCCTCTTGTTCTCAGTCCTTGCTCATTCCTAGTCCAAGTTCTTTGTGCAGTCATTTCTTCCATGGCCGTTTTTATTGCTCTAGGAGATTAAATGCAATTAGAATGTGCAAAATTGGTTTGTCTCACTAATGAATTAGCTTTTGTTTCTTCATTTTCAATGCCTGTTTAATTTTTCGATCATGCGTCAGAAATGAAAGTCCCACCCGTTCTCACAATATAGTTTGCAGAAGCATTCACGTACTGAGTTAATCAGAAATTAAACTCACTGTTGAATTACTCTTAGGCTAATCTGTGCTTGTATTAAATTAATTAATCTGAAGCTGTTGGCATCTTATCTGATCTGACTACCAGTGAATAATAATTGAGGATCTAACATTTGATTGTTATTCTCAAAATAAACCTTTTCTTCTAGCCATATACATTAGAAAGCAGTTTTAAAACAAGCAAAATAAAAACAGACTCCATAATTGGATGAGAAGAGGGTGGCCACTGAGCAAGAAAACTACTGAGGTTTCTTCAATAAATTCAGTCGAGGATAAGAAATACTGGGGAACTCTAGATTAATCAAGACTAAAGAGAGAAAGGTGTGTTAGCTTTTCCCTGTAATCCCATCACTCCAGAAGCTAAGGCAAGAGGATCAGGAGTTGAAAGTCAGCCTGGGCTACATAATGAGTTTGAGGCCAGCCTGGGCTAGATAAGACCCTGTCTCAAAGAAAGAAAAAAGAGACAATTAAATGTGAAGTGTGATCGTTGACTAGATTCTGGTTCAAACACAAGTAGTTGTAAATAACATTCTAGACACCTTTGAGGAAATTAGCTAGCCTGAATATTGGGTAGTATTAGAGAATTATTGTTAATGTTAGTTATAATAATGCATTGTGGTCATAGAGGAAAATATTCTCATTTTTAGGAAAAAGTAATCGGTGCCTCATGACCTGTACAACTTACTTTGAAATGGTGTGTGTGTGTGTGTGTGTGTGTGTGTGTGTGTGTATGTACATGTGTGTGTATTTATAAGTCTGAGGACAAGGTATAATGACACTTTGTGAAGATGTCACAATGGAACCCATTACTTTGTATGCTAACTTAAAATTTTAATTTAAAAGCAAATTCTGTCTGCACACATATACATACGCATACATACATATATATTTATCTGCATGTGCTTGAAACAAATACAGCAGAATGGGAGCAGGGTTGATCATATAGGTATTCTCGTATAATTTTTTTCAACCTTTCTAAAATTTTCTTAAGTATCTCATAATACTATAAGGCTTGGGAGAGTCCTGCAAACAACATCCTTCTTCAATGTTGCATATTCTTTTAAAGGTCAACCCTAAAGATCTGGATTCCAAGTATGCCTATATCCAAGTGACCCACGTGATCCCATTCTTTGATGAAAAAGAATTACAAGAGAGAAAAACAGAGTTTGAAAGATCCCACAACATCCGGCGCTTCATGTTTGAGATGCCCTTCACCCAGACTGGGAAGAGGCAGGGTGGGGTCGAAGAGCAGTGCAAACGACGCACCATCCTGACAGGTACACTTCAAGATGAAGAGCGCCCCATTAGGGATTCTAGAACTGGAGGGGTCCTTAGTCAGCTGAGCCAGCTTCTCTACACCTGTTTCAGTTCAGTAGCGTTGAACTCAGGCCATCCTTCTGTAAGTCTGTTTACACTTTCTTCTTCCTTCAAATCAGAACTTCATGTCTATTCACTTTCCCATTTAGATCTGAGGAAAACAGTGAGCCTTCATCTTCCCAGGGGCTTTTACATGCAGTGCCCGGTGATTTAAGAAGCCCTTCTGAAACCAACCAGGGCCCTCTCAAGGCCACAGCATGCAGATCAAGAAGCCCACACTCACCTTGTCCCTGTGGCTGAGTAAATAAGTGAGACAGGAGGCCTGGTCTTGGTCATCCTGACAGACGCCGCCAGCTTCCATTTGAGCCTCTCTAGTACTGGGAAGCTCGCTGTGTGATCTAGTTTTGTTGTTATTGCCATGATAAAATGTCCTAACAAAAAGCAACATAGAGGAGGATGGGTTTATTTGGCTTACAATTCTAGGTTACAGCTCACCATTTTGGGGAAGTCAAGGCAAGAACCCAACAGCTAATCACATCACATCCACAGTCAAGAACAAAAGAATAAACATATGCTTGCTTGCTTCTCCCTCAGCCTACCCTTCTTCACTCTTATACAGTTCAGGGCTGGAGCCCATAAAATGGTCCTACCTGCAATGGGCTAGTTCTTCTTATATCAGTTAACAGTCAAGACAGTCCCCCATAGACATGCCCCACTGGCCAATCTAATTTAGAAAATTCCTCTTTTGAAACTCTCTTCCCAGGTGATGCCAGCTTATGTCAGGTTGACAGTTGCAGCTAACCAGCACACCACCTCTTCAGCTAAAGCTCTCAACTGATCCCTTCACACTGTTTGAATCATTTCCTCCTCCCTGACAAGTTACAGAGTCACCTTGGGGCAGGATAGGTGTGTGTGATTTTTTTACAGTCCTTGTGGAAGCTCAACCTCTCCAGTCTTAGGTTAGGGTCAGGAATATAACTAACACAACCAAAACCAAAATGTTTTCTTGATCAGTGGGAAGCTGGCTCTGGATGCCAGGCATGCCTACAACCATCGTTTGGCCCTGTTTTCTAAAGAATAGTCTTACTCAGAATTTGGTTCTGGTGAGTTTTCTGGAGAATACTGTGGAAGTTGTCATCTTCAGAAATGAAAGGAGCTCTGCTGAGATGCTGCACTGCAGGTGGTTCTCAACTCTCACCAGTGAGCAAATTGTGTGGACTCTATATCTTAGTATAGCTAGTACCAGTGTAAGAATATGCAACATTAATAAAAGTAAACTCAAGGCATGGGGCTGGAGAGATGGCTCAGCAGTTAAGAGTGCTTGCTACTGTTGCAGAGTACTGGAAGTTCAGTTCCCAGCACCCATATCAGGTGACTCACAGCTGATAACTCCAGTTCCAGGGGATCTGACACCCTCTTCTGGCCTCTGCAGACACGCATGCATGCACATGCACGCACATGCACACACGTGCACACACACACACACACACACAAATATATAAATAACTAGTAAATTAGAGTTTAGTTAAGTTTAAAAAATAAATAAACTCAGGATAGCATATTATAGGGAATTTTCACCACCCCTGTGAGAGAAATGAGATAAATATTCTAAAACAAATGAAACTGACATTCTTAAAATGTCCCTATTCCTGCTTTTAGAATAAGATACTATATAAGGCACAAACCACATTGTGCTCATTAACGTGGACCCCTGCCACATAGTAAATTCATGAGTTTTCTACTGTACACCTCAATGGCAAATTCTTACTAAGTAAGGGAACTGTATTTATAGATGAACTATCGTAAGGGAATTACCAGCTTCAGTGTTCCTTTGCATGGTGAGAATGACTTCACTTTCATTTCTTAAATTAGTGGTTATCAGAGCTAGAGAAATGGCTCAATGGTTAAGAGCACTGGCTGCTCTTGCGGGGGACCTGGATTCCATTCCCAGCACCTACATGGCAGCTAGCATCCAATTCCAAGGGAATCCAACATGATCTTCAGACCTCTACAGGCAAGACATGACACAAGTCACTTACACACATGCAGGCAATACACTCATACACATAAAATAAAAATAATAAAAATAAAATGTTAAAAAATTATTGGTCATCAAAGTCTGTTCCAGATCCAGCAATGTCAACAACCCTTAGGAACTTGAAATGTAAATTCCCAGGTGCTACCCCGAACTCTACTGAATTAGAAACGAGGGGTGGTACTCAGCTCCTGTGCCTGGCAAGTACTCCAGGAGATTGTGGCCCTGCCTTGTGGGGGTAGGCCTTGCTGAGTTGGTTGGTTTCTTATTTTTATCATGAATCTTGTTGAGGTAGCATGCTGATTCATAACATTGGGTGCTTCCCCTGGGCAGATATCCTTCCGGGGTTACAGGTTTGGTTTGTTACAGAACCATTTCAGATTAGATAAATGATGTGAGCTCGGCTCTGTATCTCCAGAACAGAGTACAAAGAGTAACTAGCTTCATGGAGAGGCAGAACCTGCACAAGCCCTGTTGCTTCTAGGAATAGCCACTCTCCATAGAGCTGAGGAAATGGGGGAAGGGTAGCAGGGAGCCTGGCCTGGGGCTCCAGCCCACCCTGATCACAGCCTTGCTGTGTGAACTTAGACAGGTTGCCCAGCCACTCCATTGCTTCATCATGTCATGTTAAATAATTCTGTAAACTGTAGCCAGGCACTCCAAGTGGCTAGATCCCACCTGCTAATGAGCTTCTTCACCCTTTGGGGTTGATGATGAACAAAAAGGATTACAGTGCAGCAGAAACAGGTTTTGCTCTGAAATACCTCAAAATATGGAAGGGATAGATACTAGGCAGAGTAAATGTTTAGAGAAAAGCTTTTTTGTTTTGTTTTCTAAGCCACTGAGAACACACAAGCTCTATAGCAACCTTCAGAGAAACACACTGGCTCCTTCTGAAGACTTTGAACTTGAGAGTTTTCCCTTAAGTTATTAGTCCTCTGGGTTCTTCCATTGAATTGCTACAAACCTGGCCTTTGGCCTTACAAGTTGTAGGAGAGTCCTAACCTTCCCTGCCTCCTGCACCAGCTTGAGGCATACCTGCTGTATAACTCTGTCAGGTGCCTGTCACCTCACACTCACCTCCCTACCCCCCTGAGTGCAAGTTCCTGAACCTACATTTCCTTTCTTCCCAGTTACTGTTCCCAGATCTCACCCACACTCCTCTTGGAAATGTCTACACCTTCTTTTCACCCTGAGCCATCCATACAGTTGACACATGATTTGCTGTCTTCCTCCTCCTCTTTCCCGTGGGCCACATACTTCTACAATGGGCCATTTATAATTATATGATGACTTATTCCAGTGTTCACCTGACTGTTCTTCTTCTGAGGCCAGTTTGCTCTCCTGTGTGGTCCTTAGGACAGTAACCTAGCAAGACATATTGAGCACTGGCAGTGCTGGGGTATGGCATGCCCCCCAAACTAAGGTCTGTGCCTCATGCTGCTGACATCTCAGCAAGAGGAGACAATAGTCAGTCAACACGGAGTGTTAGACCATGCCATGCATTCTGAATAAACAGGAGGAGACTGGGAATGTGAGGTTGAGGAGGAAGGTTTCAGTTTAATGGGGTGGACAAGGTAGGCCTCATTCAGGGAATGAAAGGGCTGAGATGTGTGAGGGCAACGAGTAGAGGTGGGGGCCAGAAAGAGTGGCAGGGGTATGTGGACACTTGCAGGGCACCCTAAATTACAGGGCCCTGGTGGTCTTGGGTACAGACCTTGAGTTTTCTCTGTGTAGTATTACTGCACCTCCACCTCCCCTTGGCTTCCTGAGGCATAGTTCCCATACCAAGTAGCAATGGGCAGGACTTTATACTGGAAGTAATCGGTGTGATTCATGGGCACCTCACACATACACTTGTTTTCTCTGAAAAAACAGATCTCTCAAATGATGCAACACTACATGGATTGTGTCATGCCCCTTGGCCTCATGAAATATTTTGATGGTGTATTTTCCTTACAAATGAGAATGTAATTCCTCTGTAAGGCACATGAGTCTACCCAAATGCAATGATACCATGGTCAGACTACCACTTCCCTGGCTATAAGCAGCAATGCCCAGTTCCTTCTGTAATATAAACGAAGCCTTTGTTCAAAATGGCTTTATTGATCCCATTTTTGCCATTTAAAAAGTTAAATATATCATTTAAAAGCTGATATGTTAGAGAAATGATTCAGAGGTTAAGAGCACTTACTGCTCTTGCAAAGGGAACCTGAGTTCAGTTCCTAGCACCCACATGGCAGCTCACAACTGTCTGTAATGCCAGTTCCAGGGGATCTGACACCTTCTGGCCTCCTTGAGCACTAGGCATGCATGTGGTGCATACATACATCCAGGCAAAACACTTACATGCATTTTTTAAAAGCAAATCTTGAGTAAAACAAATCTTTTAAAAAACTGATATTCCCATAAAGGTACAAAAGAAATTCAAGATAGGAACACTTAACCAACTAATAAAATATTTGGCAAATAGAGTGTGACCAGGGAGGTTGTTCCCCCCCCCCCATCTTTATCCAGTTACTGATGGTGATCAGGGAGCTAGCCTTGTTTCCCATTGGGAGATAAGACATTCTTGAATAAATTCTCCCCAGCCATTTACTAAAGAACAAATAATTCAAACATAACCACTCATCTTTTGCTTGTTAAAAAATAAAAGAAGGACTATCGAGATAGTTCATGGGTAGGTGCTTGCATGCAGGCCTGATGACCTGCGTTTGATCCCCAGATCCCATAAGGTGGCAGGAGAGAACTGACTCCCAAGAGCTGTTCCTTGACCCCCCCCACACACACACGTGTTATCCATGTGCTGCGGCACACATGAGCTTACACACACATATACACAATAAAATTTTTTAAGTAGGCTTTTAAAGAATGTGTGTAGCAAACATCTCCCTGTGGGATGTCTTTAATGTTATGATGCTGCTTTTCAAGCTTTGCCTGCCAATTTCTGTGGGATATGCTCCATCAGGTGGATTTCCCCCATTACCATCGCTTACTCCCACTCATCAGGTTGCTTGGGGTCTCCACACTGACTGCGATGACCACTTGTCTCTACTAAATCCCGGTAAAGTTTCGACTATGGCGGCTTTTATTTTACCTGTTCAGGTCTAGTAGTGTGGCCTGTAGCTTCAGAGAGGCAGCCAATTTCACTACATGGGCATTAGCAGAAACTAATCAAAAAATGAAAGAGCTCTGCATGTTGATGCTCCAGAATCGAGCCACTAATGATTTCTTGTTACTGAAACGTCATCTGGGTTGTGAATAATTTCCTGGAGTATATTGCTTCAATATCACCAATAATTCCAATATTATTCAACAACAGACCAAATAAAAGAGAAAATTGATAAGATCTTTAAAAATGTGTGTAAGTCTATTAGATCCTCCAAAAATGGTTTTGTTCATTTTTAAAAAATATTTTATTATTTTAATTTTATGTGTATGAGTGTACTGCCTGCATGTATGTGAGTGCACCTGTGTACTGCAATGCCGCGAAGGTCAGAAGGGGCTTCGGATTCCCCTGGAACTGGAGTTAAGGATGGTTCGTAGCCGCCATGTGGGTTCTGGGAATTGAACCTGGGTCCTCTGTAAGAGCAGTCAGTGCTCTTAACCACTGAGCTCTCCACAGCCCCAGTTTTGTTCATTTTTAAACTAATTATTTAGTGTTGATACAATCAGGTATCTTGTTATAAATAAAAATAGAATTCATTACCTTTTGTGAAAAATTATCAGAAATAGTAAATATTTTTAAATTTCTTCTCACTGTAAGTTTCAAAATACCTTTATTGCCAGTACAATTCTAAGAGTTTCATGGAATGCTTTGCCTAGAAATTTATTCTTATTTTTTGAATTTTCATTGATATCTCAGATTTATTCAAATTTATGTGATTCAAAGTTGTTTTGAGAGAAAAACACAAAGATACTTTGTGGAACTTTTTTTGGGACCTAATCTGCTATGTAGTATCTCAGAACTGTTTAGTGTTTTTTGTATTTTAAAAATCATCTTATACCTACTCATTTCAATCATACAACTTCTAAAGAAGGTTAGGATGTGTATAGATATGAAAATTAAGCAAGGAATCGTAAAATGATGTTTTCAAAGACACGCTGCTCATGTTAAAGGGAAAGCAAGGATCCAACTGTTTGCTTTATGATATAACTTGTCATTAAATATGCATCATTAAAAAGGAAGATCATGGGACTGGAGAGATGGCTTAGTGGTTAAGAACACTGGCTGCTCTTGGCAGAAAACCCAGGTTTGGTTCCCAGCACCCACATGGCAGATAACAATCATCCTTAACTTCAGTTCCAGGGGATCCAATGCCCTCTTCTGTCTGCTTCAAGTATTGCGTGCATGGGTGCACTTACATATAGGTAGGCAAAACACTCATACAAATGAATGAATGAATGAATGAATGAATGAATTTTTTTTTTTCAAAAAGGAAGATCATAGTCTAGCTTCACAGAGTATTGGCAGGTGATGTTAGCAAGCTTGGGGTTCTTTATCTGTAAAATAAGAATGACAGTGATTGCAGGCTGTGGTATAACTCTGGGCCTTGTTACTTCGCAGCAATACACTGCTTCCCCTATGTGAAGAAGAGAATCCCCGTCATGTACCAGCACCATACCGACCTGAACCCCATCGAGGTGGCCATCGATGAAATGAGTAAGAAGGTGGCTGAGTTCCGGCAGCTGTGCTCCTCAGCTGAAGTGGACATGATCAAACTGCAACTCAAACTCCAGGGCAGTGTGAGCGTTCAGGTGAGCTGGGCAGAGGGAAGAAATTCCTGTGCAAGCTGCAAGGGAAGCAAGGCAATCCCCCTCACCTTCCTAATGTCATGGTGGCTTCTCCCATTATCAGAAGGAACAGTAGCTTTAACTGACCCCCAGTCCCATGGACACATGGACAACATGGTAACTTCACTAAGCTGTCCTCACTAACAGCACTCTTCACAGCACCCTGAGTTTTCAGTAAGTTGGGGAGTGTTGGGTGCTTGAATGGCAAGACTCTCCTAAAACCTAAGAAAGGTGGAGAGTAGTAGGTTTTTCTATGAAACTGGTTTCTGGTTTCTATAAAAGTTATATCTGAAAAAGTACCTGATGTTTCACTCTCTTCATAGTTTTGTTGTTGTTGTTGTTGTTGTTGTTAGCTAACAAAAATTCTTTATTTTGATATAGCCCAATCAAGCAACTTTTACTGGTAGCATTTTTGTGTCTTTTTAAAGAAATATATAACAAGGCATGGTGACTCCTGTCATCCTAGCACCCAAGAAGCTGAAGCAAAAGAATCAGTAGTTTCAGACTGAGCTGAGTTATGTACCAAGTTCTAGACCAGCCTGGACTGAGAATATGTCTTCATGTCTCAAAGGAAAGAAAGAGGGGCTGGAGAGATGGCTCAGTGGTTAAGAGCACTACTCTTGCAGAGCACCCGGGTTTGGTTCCCAGCACTCACATGGCAGCTAACCACCACCTGTAATTCCAGATCAAGGGGATCTGACTCTCTCTTCTGGCCTCTGCCAGCATTGCATGCATATGTGCATGTGCATACATGCAGGCAAAACACTCATAACATAAAAGTAAATAATTTTTTAAAAGAAAGAAACCTGTGTCTCTCCAAGTTTCCCTCCTTTTTCAGCATACACACTCAAATCCGAAGTATATCTGGAATTGACTTTGTATTTGACATAGAGAAAGGATGAAGATACCTTTTTTTTTCAGCAGGATGTAGTCATATATGCCTGTAATTCCTGTACTTGGGAGGCTATGGGAGGCTAAGGAGAGAAGATTACAAGTTCAAAGCTACATTGTGAGTTTGAAGCCAGCCCATGCTACATAGTGAGACCCTGCCTCGAAAAAAAAAAAAAGAGAGGCTGGGGATATAGCTTAGTTGGAAAAGCGTTTTCCTAGTGTGCACAAAGTCCTGGATTTGATTCCCCATACTATATAAACTGCACGGTAAGGCATACCTGTAATTCTAGCACCCACGAGGTGGAGGCCAGTGATCAAAAGTTCAGTTTGGGCTACATGAGCCTCTCTCTCTCTCTCTCTCTCTCTCTCTCTCTCTCTCCCCCTCCCTCCCTCCCTCCCTCCCTCTCCCTCTCCCTCTCCCTCTCTGTCAAAAACATTTTTTTCTGCCACACCACAAGTAAGTCATGTTTGTGTGTTCAACTTGTGACAATTTTTCAAGCTGTACACTTATGATATATACTTTTATGTTTATGTATTATACTCTAATACAACAGTCTTAAAGTTATCTTCTATAGCTTCCTAGGCAATTGGCAAATTTTAGATTGGCTCTCTCCAGTGACCACTTTTCTATGTATATAAAGAATTCAAACACTTTTCTTCCTCCGTAGATCCCTCGAGCTCAGTGTTTTGTCTTTCAAGTTGTGTGTGCTTATGAAAATTACATGGAGGGTCTGCTATATAGATTTAGGGTTTGGGATTTGGTTTCTGACATGAGTTTTTATCAACGTTTTATCAGATCCACGCATAAAGAACCATGAGGTTTGGGCAAAATTTTTTACTAAATGTCATTGGCCACAAAAGTATAGATATTTCTTGTATCCAGAAAGATTATATGCCAAATTAGTTTAGGAACTGATTATAAATATTCCAGCATCATGATTATTCAACAGGCTCAGAGGCCAGAGTGTTCCGTAGCTAAAAACATCACTCAATACCTTGACCTGGAAATGCCAATCCTCTATCAAAAGAATAGGGCTGTGGTTTCCAGCAAAAGGTGGGGCCAAACAGATTGAACTTTCTAAAGGGTAAAGCATGTAGTGCCATTTGCCGGTGACCTTCAAGGTTTATTAAATGCCCAATCATCTTTCAAAGCAAAGAATTCCATGCCGAAGTGAAAAAAATGTTTATACTGGTGCCCATCCAGGTAATAACAAAATTGGGACCAAAAGCAATTAACTGTCATTTCCTTTGAGTTCTCCTGTAGCTCTGTCACCCAGAGGCCTACTGCATTGTAGGCCAGAGCTCTCTGTGGCTCCTTCACTGTACCCCAAAATCTTGTTATATTGCTCTGTCTCATTAGCCAGCCTCTCTGCATCTTTTTAAATGAACTGTTTCATTTCAGACTGTCTTTGTCTTGTCTTCATGTTAGCATGCTTCCCATACATGTAGCCTAATGCAGAGGCTTGCCCTCCACATTCAGTCACCATGGGAAGTTAACTAGCCATCCATCTCAGAGGCCCTACCGCTGACACTGTGGCCTCTGCCCTCCTGTCTCCCCCTATCCCCTGTGACATCTCGTGGTTCAATTCTCCTGACACTACTGCACACATGGGTTAGAGCTCCTTACAGACAGCTCTTCCTCTGTCCTTTCTCTAAGGCACCAGACCTCCTGGAAGAAAGTAGACATTCCTTCCCTGAACTCTCTGAGGCACCTGGAACAATGTCCTCATCCTAGGGTGTCCAGCCATCTTCTCTCCTCGTTCCTCTATTGCCTGACTTATCAGCTTCAGAGAATCCTTCGTAGCTTATTGAAAGAGGGATGCAGTGTTCTGGGTCATTTGCCACATGCTAAATGTTCCTAACCTTTTGATTTCCAGCACGACCCAAATGATTACTGAGGCAGCAAGGCAGCTTTCCTGTGGCTGCCTATACAATTCAGTAAGGTGAATACTTGTTTGTTTTTTTAAACACTGGCTGTAGGAGCTGGGAAGATGGCTCAGACAGTAAAGTGTTTACTGTGCAAGCATGAGCACCTGAGTTCATATCCCCAACACCCATGTAAAAAGGTGGGCATGGCAACACACGCCTATCATCCCAGCACTGAAGAGGTAGAAACAAGATCCCTGGGGCTCACTGGCCGGCAGGTCTAGCTTAATCATCAAGCGCCAGGTTAAGTGACAGATTATGTCTCAAAAAATGAAATGGAGAGCAGTAGAGGAAGACATCTGATATTGACCTCTGGCACACATGCATATGAACATACACACACGTGTGCATGCACACACATACACACACACACGCACACATAAAAACACTGGCTCTGTTTCCATTGCTCACTGAATTCACTAGATTGACATGTTAGTTTAGTATAGTGTAGCATAAATGCCAGTCTCCAGAACCTGTTTGTAATAGTCTTTAACATAGGGTTGGAAGACCTAGGCCCTGAGCGTTTTGCGTATTGGATTCTCCAACTTGAATAAGCAGGTTCCCTATCATTGGTTCCTTCTTATATAAAATGAGCCATCATCACAAGTCCCCTGAGGATGGATGGCCTGATGGAATCAAGTGGCACGCAATGATAGAAGCTTTGTTACTGGTTTCCTCTTGGCTTGTAAGGACCTAGAAGACAAGGATCATAACTGACTCTCAAACAGCATTTAGAGTGCATGACAACTGACAGTAAATAAATAATAATGGTAATTTTCTTCCTGACATAATATCTAATCTTTGTTCTTTTTCTAGGTCAATGCTGGCCCACTAGCATATGCCCGAGCCTTCTTAGATGACACCAACACAAAAAGATATCCTGACAATAAAGTCAAGTTATTGAAGGAAGTTTTCAGGTAAGTCACACTAAAAATTTTCTCTTCAAGGAATTGATCATCTCTCTGTCTTAGCCAGCCTTCCATTACTATAACAGATGCCTAAGACAATTTGCTTATAAAAAGAAAAAGGTTGATTTTGGCTCACAGTTTTGAAGATTCTTTGGGGCCTGTGGTAAGGTGTCTTATCATGTTGGGCGTGAGTAGCAAAGGTATATACATCGTAGCCAGGAAGCAAAAGAGTAAGTAAGGGTCCTGGGTTCCACAAGTCCTTTCAAGGGCATGACCCAAAAACCTAAAGACCACCCAGTAGGCCCTTCCTCCAGAGACTCCACCACCTCCCAATAGCACCACCTTGGGGACCACACTTTAACAGTAAACCTTGGAGGGACATTCCAAACCTAAACTATAGTGTCCTCATTCAGAAAAGAGATAATCCCAGCTAGATCAAGGCTTTTTCCTCTGCATGCCTTTATCTCCCTCTCTAACCCCACTTCAGGCAATTTGTGGAAGCTTGTGGTCAAGCCCTGGCCATCAATGAACGTCTGATTAAAGAAGACCAATTAGAGTACCAGGAAGAAATGAAGGCTAACTACAGAGAAATGGCCAAGGAGCTTTCTGAAATCATGCATGAACAGGTAAGTGCCACACTAGCTTGGGCAACTTGGAGGAAATGGATTCACTGGGGTCTGAAATATACCTCATAATAAAATTAAGCCTTCCAATATTCTTGTAGAATTATAATTTCTGAAGAGAATCATAACATGTTATGCCCTTGCTGCTATAACCCAAGATTATTTGGGAAGCCAAGTGACAGATTGCCCATTTGTCATCTAAAGCAAGCAGGGAGGGCAGCACCCTATTACTATTCTAAAAGGTGTTGCATTTTATCAGCTTTGCCTCTCTCTACCTGGAGCAAGCCAGAAGAAACCATATCCATGTTATTTTACAACTGTCTTTTGCTAGGACAGGCCTTACCAGCCTGGTTTGCTTGTCTGTTGCATCAAAAGTCTTTTGTCATTTAAAAATGTGGACTTGTTCCCTTTTTGTGCTATTCATAACTGGCCTGGGCATGGGGATTCTGCATGGCTCCTTCCCTCATGTTCCTTGTCATCAAGGGCATCTTCCTGAATCTATTGTGCTTCTATTCTTCCTATATGAATGTTCTGTGTGGTCTCAGCAGTCATCAGAGGACAGGTGATGACCAGGTGTCAAGCAAATGTCCAGGAGCCTGCCCATCCAAGCCACTGTTCCTGTCTTTATAAATAGGATTGTCCTTGATCCTTGATCTCATATCTTGCCTATTTCCTGCATGATTGCCTTTGGTCTTGCAGAATGGGAACTAGGGCCTTTTGGGTCCCTTGCCCTATCACTTGCTGACTTAGGAATTTTTACTGTGAAAAATAACTTGATTGTTTGAGTTTTAACACCCTTGCTTTTTTTTCTTCTCTGTGCCAACACACTCAGATGGGATGGTAATGTCACTTTTTAATTTTATTTTTCTGATACACTAGCTCACTTAAATTAATTTGAGTCACATAAAGTTATTACTAAGTTTGAGCAGCTACAGGCATTGGATAGTGTGTGTACAATCGAAAACAGCTCTCTTCTGAACATTTTAAAAAGCAGAAAATGAAATGATTAACTCATGTGGGAATAGTTAAATACAAGGGAGAGGCTCGTGGGAACAAACTCACAGAGAAAACTTGCGATCTCTTCCTTGGAACCTACAATGGAGTGCTTGATCAGTGGGCTCCAGCACGCAGCCCTAGGAAGGATGGAAGTAGGAAGGAATTATGGGCTGAATTTTATGGGCGCTCTTGTCTAATCCCTAAAAGATTTTAGGGTTACCTCTTTGGAGGAGGGGAATATTAGAGTAGCAGAAAGCCCCTTTAAGGAAGGGAGGGAAGGAGGGAGGGAGGGAGGGAGGGAGGAAGGAAACGAAGTTGTCAGAAAAAAGTGATGGGTAGATTTGGAAGGTGTTGGAGGGGAGGGAGTGGGCATGGATTTGATCAAAACACCTTATATGCATGAATGAACTTCTCAATAAAGTTTTTTTAAAGTTAAAAAAATTAAACTCTCAGATTGAACAGACATGATCTAGCCTTGTCTCTTGAAAAAGCTTTCTGAAATGAATTTAGTTTATCCATGTCATGTTGTAAGGTAGACCTCAAGTCCCCATAAGATCTAGTCAGCCTAGAAGGCTTTCCATTCATTAACCTGCAAAGGCAACAAAGCATGTTGCCTTGACTTTCTCCTTACAATGTTTTTAAGATGACCACTTACTAGATAAACTAAACCATCTGTGCAGACTGTCAAAGCCAAGCTATCTAGGTGCACCACTGTTCAGAGTGACACTGCATGACAAGTTGTGTGTGTTACCTAAGCACAGTTCTAAATGTTTACCAAAGCATTGCACTTTGATAATGTTGTGTTTCTGTGCCTTGAGATTTGCCCCCTGGAGGAGAAGACGAATGTCTTACCGAATTCCCTGCACATCTTCAACGCCATCAGCGGGACTCCAACGAGCACAGTGGTTCAAGGGTTGACCAGCTCGTCCTCGGTTGTGTGATTTTTACCTCATGAACCATGTGTGGGGATTTGCTTTGTCATTTATAAACTCAGGATGACTTCCAAAGCTAATCACTGGGAAGACCAAGCACAGGGAAAGAAGCCTTGGGAACGGGAAAGAGAGGGGATGAGGACTGATATTTCACAGTGGCTTTTCTACAGGAATCAAAAGAGGGCACACATATTTTTTTATATATCACTGGCAATATTCAGTTTTCCTTGAGTCTTAACAGACGTGTGTGGTGGATGCTCTCAAGCTGGAGTTCAATTTTATTCTTCCTTACAGAGTAGTATTAAGATAAATGATCTAAAGAAAAAGTGTTCTAGAATGTTTGTAACAGGGACAGCAGCACTGAAACTGAATCCGGGGACCTTCTGGAAAAATCTTGAAAATATTATTTTTTTTCCTGTGGCACATTCAGGTTGATTACAAGAACTATTTTTGTGTCTAGTTTTTGATGACTTAAGGGTATTGACCATTGTAATTTTTGTACTAGTGAATAAGGAGATTTAGTGCTTTTATATTCATGCCTTGCATTGAAGACATGTGAAAACTTAAGAAATTATATGTGAGCTTAAGACTAGTCCAACAGTGTAGAACCAAAGGCCTGTACTAACAAACATACCTATGCTAAAAAAGTAAAATGTAGTATCCTAAATGACTGTACATACAGTTTGTTAATACAGCCTCAGCATTATGTACATACATATATCACATTTCTACATTTTTAATACATCTGCTTCCACATTAAGTTTATTTGTGACCAATTTGTGCTCTTCTTCATATATGCAAATACATTTGTCTTTACTGTTTTATTCTTGTACATAAAAAGTGCAGTATGGAGATGTGTATAGTCTTTGTTACATTAGGTTTATAAACTGTCAAAAATTTCATCCTTTTGCCAAAATGGTGGAGTATTGTGATTGGAATCATAAATCCTGTGGGGAGTTGGGGGTATAATTTAAAGTTTTCACCATGTTATATTTTCGTTTAAGACATTAATTTAGTAATTTTATATTTGGGAAAATAAAGGTTTTTAATTTAACTGGAATCACTGCCCTGCTGTAAGTAAACATTCTGTATACCACATCTGTATTAAAAATAACATTGCTGATTTTCTGGTAATAAACACTGGCTATTTATTGTTTGGCAATCCTAAAAGGGACAGGTTACTGAAATACTTTGGGATGAAATAATATTACCTAAATATTCTTTAAATTTTTGTTTATTATTTTTAATTTTATGTATATGAGTGTTTTGTGTGTGTGTATGAAAATGTACCTATGTCGTGAAATGCCCACAGAGGCCATAGAGGACACTGGATTCCCTGGAACTGGAGTTATGGCCAGTTGTTAACTACCATGTGGATGCTGGGAACCAAACTCAGGTCCTCTAGAAGAGCAGCCAATTCTCTTAACTGTTGAGCCATCTTTCTGGCCCACTAAATTTTCTTTAAAATAAGAGAAAGAAGATGGTTTGATATAATACAATGGATGGAATGTAGGTAGTTGTTGAAGCTGTTGTTGAATGTGTAGAAGTCATAACACAAATTCTCTGTTTTGCTAGAAGCTTCCATAATACAGATTATAAAAGATGGGGATAGGGATCATGATTCCAGAGAACTCGGGTGGATGCTTTGTTGTCCCATAGACTGGGGGGACAGAGCTGTACCAGTTATTCCCAGGTAAGGGTAGACCCCTTTGTCTGAGTTTTCCTCTTCAACAATATCAAGGCTTCCATCTTTATCATCTCCCTGACTTCCTTTTCATGTGAACACTCTGGGAGATGGTGGTCAGTCATTTCTCCCAGAGATGCTTAGGCAGCCATGTAGGCACACCTCTACCCCTATGCTCTGCATCATCACAAACACTGAACTGACTCATAGAGATGAATCACTCCACAGGTGCTGGTCCTGCCTCTGGTGTGCCCAGTGGCCCCAGAAGAGGAGCCAATTCATTATCAGCACCATGTTTTGCACTGATAATTTTGTAGTTCCAGTGAAGTGAAAAGAAAACTTTCTACAAGGAATAAAATAGTGGATTTTCTATTTGAAGAGTTATAAAGACTTGAAAGGTCTTTGTATATGGCCAGTAAGGAAAGGCCGCTTGTGATACTGCAACCTTTGAGCACCAATAGCCAAAGCTGTGCAGGGTCTGACGCATTCTCTGTCAATGGTGAGGTGAAGCCTTGAAGAGACAAGAGATGGTGATGGGTGTGGTGATGCCCCAGGGGTTGTGGGCCATTCATTACTCCATTTAGATTCAGAACTTCAGGAAAGGCTTAGTTTTCCTGAGTCTCTGACATTCCAGCCCCGTGTAATAAGCCTTGAGTCAAACATCATCAGAGGTGGGTTTCCCAGTCATAAATACCTCATTTAGGAACCATTAAAGTCAAGTCATCGTGGAGTAGGATAAATGAAAGTTTAGAAGGAGTCCATGAAAAATAAGATTAAGTTTGGAAGATGGCCAACCCTCACGTTCTACAAAGGTGGAAAAAGGAACCATCTCTTGATGATAGCGATGATAAAGATAGATAACTAAGGTGGAAGAGCCAGAGGTAATAAGGTGTACTTGGGAAACCTTTACTCACCACAGTAGAGGAGGCAAGGACAGTGGAGAAGGTTGAGAACACCTTCTGTGGACTCTGATGAAACATTTCATAGAGTTCACATAGAAAATTTTAATTTCCATCGAATATTATACATTAAGACTGATAAGATGGCTCAATGGATAAAGGTCTTTGTCATGCAAGTGTGGCAACCTGAGTTGTATCCCCAGAATCCATGTAAAGGTTGAAGAAGAGAATCAACTCTGCCAAGTTGTTCTGTGGTTTCTACATGCATCCCATGCATGGCACACATACACACAATAATAAAAATTTTAAAAGATGATACATTTGGGGTTGGAGAGATGGCTCAGCTGTTAAGAGCACTACCTGATGATTCACAACTGCCAACACACATGGTACATATGCATACATACACTCAGATATATGCACACATAAATAATTTTTACAAGATACATTAACAAAGTCATTTACAAAAAATTGAGTATTTTTAAATATTTTTATAGTATTTCACATAGATTCTATTAATTTTTTTAGAAGAAGCATTTCATTACAACAGCATTGACATGTTCAATAACAATTTCCAGAGCAAAGGTGCATCTCAAAAGTTGGCTGTAAATTTTTAGGTTCCTGGTTGAATTATTACAGTTATACAATATTGTACTTAGTATAAACCCTATAAGACATAAATTTGAGGTTTTTAACCTTTAAAAAAGATCCCCATTTCTTTTTAAAATATACTCTTTCATACAGAAAACCTCATTTTTAATGCAACTAACACTTAGATGTTTGCACATGTGTCTCTAATCTCTATATATCTGATTATTACTAGTCACAATCAGTTGCTTTCTAAGATCCTTGGCACCTGAGCATGGATATAAAGCCATCAGGTAGATTTCAATGATATGTTTTTCACCTCTACTAATTATTAAGGAGGACATTTTTATGCTTTGAA